ACTATGATGATCTTTTGGAAAATGTTCTCAACGAGTCGGTCTTTCCAAAGAAAATATGGAATGGTCATTCTGTAAATGTTACGATCCTGCACCTTCTCACGCACACTTCTGGCATTGTCGTGGATACAAACACTACAGTCATTCTGGCTGCAAATGTCACTGAAGGAATTCAAAAAGACAAACATACTCCGTAAGTGAACATTAGTTGTACTTTTATTTTGTAAAATTTTAGTAATATCTCATGCAGTTTGCTGTTCAAACCTGGTACTCGGTTTTACTACTCAAACTATGGCTACCTGTTGCTAGGGGCAATCATTGAGACAATTACCAAGAAATCATATGATCGAGTAATGAATGACTTTTTTGCCCAAAACAACCTTCACTCGACATTGGTTGAAACGCCAAACTCAATGTTTAAAGATCGTGCTCGTTATTATCGGTCTCCTGATAGCAGGTACTATAGCAGTAAATCTTCATTGGAGAATGTGCCCACTACACTGGAGGATGAGATAGAGATTTCTACTGGTTCATGGAGTGATGGCTCTCTTGTCTCCAATGTCATTGACTTGCTTCATTATGGCAGTTTGCTTATTGACTCGTACAAAGGACGCCAACATGGTAAACTAAAGTCACTCTGATAGGATACAATTTAGACTTATGATTGTTTATTTTTTTGTAGCTATTTTATCAAAGACAACCTTGGCCAAAACCTGGTCATCACTCACGACTGGGTTAGTTGACGAAGATGGCCTAAAGGTGGAGTACGGTTTTGGATGGTTTATTGGCAGCACGCAGCTCGAAATGCCCTTCCCCCTGAATCATCGACATTTCTTGTGGCATTCTGGAGGGCTGTCTGGTGTCACCACCTGGCTAGCTGTGTGGCCTGAGGAGGAAATTGTTGGAGTGGTTTTGAGTAACAAAGGAAACACAAAAAACTTGGGTCAAGCAGTTCTTTATGCAATGGAAAATCTTTACCCGATGATTAAAAGCAAATTGTAATCCACACAATCCAAAAATGTTTGTTAGCACAGCAAAACTGTGCTCTTTATAATGCCACGTAAAGAAATTTGTCTGCAGTAAAAGTGTGGCTAATGAATGACAAGCAGAATAGAACAAGAATCAGTAAAACCAAAAAGAGGGCCAGCTTAAAGTTCAGTCGGAGCCATCTTCCAGGCTCGTCTTGTCTGCTCCCAGCCACTCATGCTGCAGTAGCTCCATCATGTTAGCACGGGTGCTCGGATTAGGGTTTAAATGAGCATGAATGATGTCCTTGCAGCTAGCACTGAGGCGGCTGCTCACGTAGTAACTGCGCTCCAGTTGAGACTTTCGCAGGGACTTCCAATCGCGATCATTAAAGGGAAAACGATCCTGCAGCAGCACAAAGAGCACCACCCCAATGGACCAAACGTCGCTGGTATAAACACAAATCAGTTTTTGGTATTCATTTTTGTAAACTATGCCTAGATTTAGACTTACCTAAGAAGCGGATTGTACTTCTCTGCTTTGAGCACTTCAGGGGCAAGGTAGGCGCGACTGCCACAGTACGTCTCACTGAGCATTCGTTGGCCACTCTGTCGCTCAATGCATGATCTGGTGAAGCCAAAATCTGTGACCTGTGTTGTTTTCCAATTGTTTATAAAAGATGATTTTTTCACAATAATAATAACAACTATCTACCTACCTTGGCGTGGGTGCGTTGTTTGTTCAGCAAAATGTTCTCACACTTGATGTCACGGTGAGCGAATCCCTATAAGTTTATAAGTTGATTAGGTAAAAAGTACAGTTGTCAAGTATAGTTAAACTGACCATGTTGTGCATGTAACGATAGGCATCTCCGTACTGCACATAAAAGTATCGGGCACGTTTCTCAGTCAATGCACCCTCCGCTTGCAGTAAATCCAGAAAATCACCACCATCGGCCAGCTTGAAAAAGGCAAACACTTGTTAAAACATAAAAAGGCTATTGAAATAGCACCGATTTACCTCCATAAACACAAAAACACTGTTTGCAATGACGTAAATATCAATGACTTTGACAATGTAGCTAGACAATTCAAAAAGATTCATTAGTTCATGTTTAAACCTGTTTAAAACTTTAAGATATAAATCTTACCGGTGTCTGATTTTTTTAATAATGTACAGCTCTCTTGGCAAAAACTTGATGCGATAGTCATCTGATGTCTTCTCCAGGTTGATCACCTAAAAAAAGTTAAAAAAACTTTGTGTTTTAAAGAGTTTCAATTGAATACCTTTACAGCTGCTGGTTTGCCTTTGTAGGTGGCTTTACTGACGCAAGCAAATGAGCCACTGTTGAGGGCGTCGCCGACAGTGTAGCCCTTCATAGCCAGCAGCTTGATATCATTTGAAGCCAGCTGAACGTTCTTTACCGGCTGCATTCTGCACGTAGATGAGAAGCACGCAACACGCTAGCAAACTGTTTTGCAAATTGCAATACCACCTCTGACACGCTGTTATATCTCGACAGACAAAAATGGAAAAAAGTTCGAAAATTGTGAATGAAATGAAATGCAGTTTTTTATTAGCAAAATATATAGAGCAACATTTTTTGCCAGCCATTAAAATCATTGAAAACATAAACGTCGACACAACAGATCAGCTCAGAAATAGCCATAATAAGTGTTTAGGTGTTTAGGCAATCTATAAAAAATAATTCTGAAAGACTTGTACACATGTAACAGTGGTGTTCTCGTGTGAAGATGGGATATTCAAGGGAGTCTTCTCGCAGGCACACAACGGCAATGCTTTTTGTTTCCTTGCCACACAGTGGGAGTTCAGTGCAAGGAGTTGTCCGCTGGCCTGGAGGGCGTGAGTGTCGATAGAGGATCAGAATGCTAGTCAGAAACCGCTTCAAAGGCACATGTGTAGTAGGTTTAGGAGGTTTTGGGGGAAAAAAAGGAGAAATTAAAATCTAAGAGAAACACGCGTGTATAAGCAGCGGTCAGCTTGCGCGAAACAATGAGTAACACTGTGTAAGGGAAAGGTAACACTGTACAACAACAAAAACAAGAACAACATTCTGGTGCCTCGGGCTGATCTAAAAGAAGGAATAGTAGTAGTAGTCAACAGGTATCACATGTAGGGGGCACAAAGTGTGTGTGTGTGTGTGTTTGCGGAAAGACTGTTGCAGGCGTTGATTGTGCGTTCAGAAAGCGGCTCATAATTATAATCAGCGTCACTTGTCCAGCAGGAATGTCCTTGTTCACTGCCACAACTAATCAGTGACAGTACTTGCAGTTGTCGTGACAGCGAATGCCATTTACCATACATCGACATCCACCCGTCAGATCACCCCTTCCCTGGAAGTGAAATTAAAAGTTAGGCGTTAGTAAGATTTTGGTCATAAACGAGAGAAAAATAGGCGGCAATAAAACGCGCAACTGCAGCAAAATGGTCTTTGGGTCATTGGGTCAAAAGGTGTGAGGGGGCTGATGACGAGGCAAACAAAGCAAAAAAAATTTAAATTTGCCTTGGGTCCCCATCGAAAGCTCTTTGTCACCCAGCAGATCTCGGTATCGCACATGGAGCACTTGACCCAATCACAGCCCCACTTCTTCATGACTATCACTTTACACTGCGGACATCGCAATGCTTCTTCGTTTTGAAGCATATCCTGAAACAAAATAATAGGGAAGGGGCAGTAATAGTGTGTTTCAGTAAATAAATAGGCCTTAAAACTGTAGTAGTGACAGGTACCTCGAGGAATTGCTTAGTCTTTTTGGCCTCTTCATCAATGGCCGCACTAAACTCTAGCTCTTCTTGGTACTGCCTACAATTGGAGCCTTCATGCATAGCCTGGCAGTTGATGCAGTTCTGGTGCGCGCACACTGGACAGTTAAAGACATTGACATTGTCGTCGTACACACACCAACCTGGACAATCGGCGCTTTTGCAGTGGAAACTCTTCTCTACGTTCTTCTCCGCCACTGACACGCTCTTTTTGAGATAGCGCTCATAAGTTTCACTTGAGGCAAGTTCTTTGATTTCTCTGTCTTGCAGAGCGCAATCACACGAGTACAAATCGTCTCGGAAAGGACACTTGACTTGAACTTCTTCATTATACTCAATGGTGCCCTTCAGGCAGTCTCTGTTGGCGAAAGGACACCAATGATTATTTAAAAAATCTAGACTTTGACTTTGACTCTAATGCTGCTTACCTGCAGAATGTGTGCAGACACTCGCGTAAAACAACCCCTTCGCCTGGTTTGAAGCGGCCAAAGCAGATGGGACACTCGAATGACTCAATATTGCGAACACACTTGACGTCTTCCAGTTCGACGAGCTTCTGGTAGGTGGACACCGCTGCAGTGGTCACCTGGTTCAGCGTGGCCAGTGCCAGCTCTGAAATGCCATTAATATTTCTAGCCATCAAGTCGTTCTCCTCATCAAGCTGCTTCTCCTCCTTCTCAAACTCTTCAAGGTCGTCTTCATCCTCCTCCTCCACGCGCGGAAGTAGCTCATTGACCATGCTTAATCCCTCAAAAACGAGTTGATTGGCAAACTGAACCTCGCCCTCCTGGTAGTAATAGCTCTTCACTGAGTTTTGGCTGGTTGTTTGAGAAAGCTGGTGAGCACTAGTTTCATTGCTCACCAGCTGTACACTGTCCGCACCCACGGCGCCGTTGTCAGTCGCCGGGAAGTAGGCTAGGTTGCCTGGCTGACCTGAACAGCCGTCAGCTGACTCCTTGTTGCTGCTGCCAGCTGACTTGACTTTAGATTTTCGGTTCAGTGTGCTGCTCTCTGAGCTGCTTTCAGTGTACGGAGGAAAGGGTATGAGAACAGGCGGCGGGGCCCTGAGCGACTCGTAGATGTTATCGTCGTCAGAGGAGACATTGCCATTTGTTTTGATAGCCACTTCACCGACCAGAGACTGCTTGTTCATGCTGACTAGAGAGGTAAGAGTGGAAAAGGCGCCGGCAGACTGAGGTGAGGGGAGAACGTAGAGGAAGATTGGACAACCGGAGTTGGTAATGCCATAGGTGGACAGTGCGGCGCTCAGATTGGTGGCGATATTACGACCGAGCACCCATTTCTGCAGCTCACTCGGTATATTGAATTCCTTTTCAACCTGGAACGGAAAGAGAGAGAGAGAGAGAGAGAAAAGAGGTTTATGTTAGAAATGCACGGAAAATCAGCAAAGAGAATTGAATTCCCGTTGGCTATGTACCTTCAGCTTGAGCATGTTGACAGACATTGAGGGATACACCTGAAAGGGAATCGGCCCCCTGTGCGTGGTTCGCTCTTCAATATAGAGGTAGGCGCTAGAAAGTAGTAATAAATTGTAAACCGAGACAATATGATCCAACGCGTGGACACGGCGAGAGTAAACACATACACAATGGGCGAAGTTCGGGCGGGCTTCTCCTTGATGATAGTGCCAGTGCCACCACCACTGTACTGTTTGTTTGTCAGCGAGCAGTGGGCCCGTTTGATGGCCAGCTCCTTGGCCAGAATGGCCGCTCGTTGGTGATTGCCACAAGCGATTGCCATTTCAAGCTCTGTCATGAGACATTTGTTGTTCTGCGTTTCCTCGTGGTTCACTTTACAGGGAATGCTCTCTGCGGTGTCTGAAAGTTTGCGGAGATAAATTAAAAACAGTAAATCTACCTACAATATCTAAAAACAACATAGAACTTCGGTCCACACACTTACTTAGAAAGACGTCGGTATCCAGTTCCTGGAAAATATTCGCCAGCGGTGTTGATGAACTCTTCAGCTGCTGAACTGGATCGAATGCACTGCCAAACTCCGAGCCCGACTCTGCCTCGACCAGTGGAGGGGGGAAGTTATTTTCGGCACTCTTAAAGAGGCGCTCTGTGCTGATAGGCGATCTGCCAGAGAGAATCTCCGCCAGCGTCGTGTCAGTGTTTGAGTAAAAGCCGCCGTCGTTGTCGTGGGGAAAGCGCACCAGCGGCTCGCCAAAGGGTGACATCGTCGAGGTAGAACAGAGGTGGCCTAGTGCTGCTGCTGCTGCCGCTGCTTTGCAATTAGAGACATCGTTGGAGAGTGTGCTGGAGGTGCGCATCGTCGAGGCCTCGGAGAGCGTCGAGGTGGAGGAGGACAGTGAGTGGTCGGAGGTGCTGCTGGTGAGCCAGACATTGTTGCGACTGCTGACTGCTGCCTGGCGAAGAATGTCATTGCCGGCAAAGTAGGCTGCAGCGGGTGCAGCAACCGAGCTGCAACACTCCCCATGGTGAGCACTGCAGTGCCGGTGACGACAGTGTCGACTTTGACCTTGGTGGGCGCGCGTCGCCTTCAAGTGCCGACAGCGACAGGAATACTTGTGATTCTTGTACCGCCGCGCCGGCCTCTCTGGTGCGTCCTCAAAGGTGGTCTGACAGAAGACATCAGAAAGACACTTCTGATTGACGGCGCTCCTCAAGGACTCACTGCCATTGCTGATGTTTGGCTGCTGATGCTGCTTTCCTCCATTGCCGCTTTTAACTCCACCACAGCCACCACTTCCAGCATCGTCCATTAACAAGTTGCTGCCCACTGGAGCACCGTCCCCATTACTGGAGTCTTCATTGATAAACTCCACCACAGTTGCAGTGCTGGTATTGGTGAGTGAGCCATCGGAAAGGGCTCGAATGAACTCACAGCGCTCAAATGAACTGAAAGGAACTGGATCGTGATCACCAAGGTTGGCAGAGTGTTCCGGAGAGATGGCGTGCTTCTTCAGAGCCGCATCGTGTCTGGACTTTTTATAGCGGAGACTGTGCTGAGGACTGAGCAGCGCATTCATCAGGTCACTGGCGGGAAGGCACTCGTGGTAGTGCTCACAGTCGCAGTCATGCACGTTGCTTGGGAGAGCTTTGACGGACACTTCAGCTGCTGTCCTCAAGTTACTACTTTGTGTCTCAGTGTCTTTCTGCACATTGCAAGCCATCATCGCAGGGTCTGTTTTGGCGAGTGCATTGAGGTACTCCTTCCAGTGGTGCAGACAACAGGTGAACTGAGAAACAGGCATCGAAAGACTGCGAGGCATGCCCGTCGACCCATCACCAGTGTCAGCATCGACCACCCTCTCCAACCGTCTCGTTTCCTCATTGTATCTGCAGCCAAACATTTTCAGCGGGTCAAAGGTTTTAGTGGGCAAATCAGGAGGCAGTATTTCACCACCATCAGCTAGTAAACTTTTGATTGGCAAAGGTGTCTCGTAAATAGTATCATCTTCTTTGATGGTCACTGCTTTTCGATTCTGATGGTCATGATGATGATGGTGGTGGCGGTGGTGGTGGTGGTGATGATGATTCTGAGAATCAGCTGTTGTTGTTGTTGTTGTTACTGCTACAGTCGTCTGTTTGTTTCTCTTTTCAATCAACTGTGCAGAGTATCCTTCCTCGTAGACAAGGACAATGTTCTCCTCATTCTCGCG